TCATTATTCCAGATTTTAGTGTCACATGATCCTTCAGAAATCATTCTAATATGCTGAATTATAATTATATATAATTATAAATAAAAGGTTAAAAAGAACAGTATTTATTCAAAAATAAAAATTGTGTTAAATATACACAACTATTCAAAAAAAAAAGTTTGGGGTCAGTAAATGTCTTTTTTTTCTTCTTTTTTTTTAAAGAAACTTTTAGAATACTTTTATTCAGCAAGGATGTGTTAAATGGATAAAAAGTGATATTGTTAGAAAAGATTGTTATATTTTTAATAAATTCTGTTCTTTTTAACTTTTTATTTTATTTATGCAACACAGGTTCCAAAAAAATATTAAGCAGCACAACAGTTTCAACACTGATAATAAATCAGAATAAGAATGATTTATAAAAGGATCATGTGGCACTGAGGACTGGAGTAATGATGCTGAAAATTCAGTGCTGCGTCACAGAAATAAATTATGTTTTAAAGTATAATAAGATAGGAAACCAATATTAGAAATTGCAATACTATTTAACAATATTACTATTTTTTTCTGTATTTTTGATTAAAACATTACAAATCTAAAAGATATACCTGTGTGCGTGTGTGTGTGTATATATATATAAAATAGGCCTGTGTGTGTATCCCTTATTCTGTCCCTTATTTTTCTATGAAAAACCACGATTGTCCCTTATTTTCCTTTTCTGAAGTTGGCAACCCTAGCTGCAGCCCATGTTGCCCATTAGGATAACGCGGTCCTGCACAGACCGTACACGGACCATTTCCGTTTCATGTTTTAATTATAATTAAAAACCATATTCGATTTATATTCGATGATTACATGAATGTACCTCTGAAGGTTCTGATTGTCTTCAGAAAAGATCGATGGCATTTTGCTTTCATCTTCGCTCCATGTAATACCTAATAAAGAAGTGTTGTTATCGCAATGCTTTTTCCACGGAGGTTACAGGGAAACAGCTCTAATTCAGCTGTTCCATCAGTGCCACCTAATGTCAGAGAGTGGATTTACAGAGAGTTACATTTACATTCAGCCTTTGTGCAGTTCTGTCTGGCCAAAAAACGGACCGAATTTGCATGCCTTGTTGATGAAAGACAAGCTTATGTGGATTCTACACATTTCAACAATTCGGATAAGGTATCTAGAATTATTTAAGGATCAGATAAAATACAGACAATAATTTATTAATAATTTTGACTTACTGTAATTTTTTTTAAAGGCTGAAATGTGAGGTTGACCATTTTATGAAACTTTTTCAAAGCTTTATATGAACATTTCGTACATTTGTTAGATAAACTGTTGTCAGTGTTGTCATTTAAAATCCAGACATCATTGGTAATGTTATTGTTTTAGTGTTTATGCAAACAAAATGTAATTTCATTTGTTGTTTGTTGATTTTAAATATAAAACTTGGTGAAACGAAAATGTGTCTACTTTTTGAAAATTTCCAGCACATTTTAACAAAACAGTGATAATACTGATAACCGTGATAATTTTTGTCACCTATAATCATGATAAGAATTTTTCATACAGTTTCATCTCTACAAAGATTAGCTGATAAACTGTTGATTCAAGCCTTTCCTTATTGACATCCATTAAGGACTGCACATGTGCACTGGCTGGTTTAGCCTGAAAGATGTGCTTTTTTAAACAATATTTGGGCATAAAATACACTAGTTCATGTCAGATTTTGTTGCTGAATTGAAATATGTTATTTAAATGTGAGTGTGGAAAGTAGGATTTATTTATTTATTTACAAACACGAACCACAAGGATTCCACTTTGAAGACAAAAATGCATGACAATGACACCTTAAAGCAGCATCTGTAAAATGAGACTGCCATCTAGTGGTCGATTCTTTACTTAAGGGAAAGTTATGTGTGGCACAACAGTGGACAGAATGAATAAAAAAGGCATCACAAACCCTTGATCCACAAATGCAGATTCAATAATAAAATCAAGACTAATTTGAGTCTTGATCTTCCTTTGGATGAATGTACATATTTAAGGCCCATGTTTGCCAAAGGGAAGATTTGTATACACGGATGTGTCTCTGTACATTCTCTGAGCATTAATGATTTCACTGACACAAGATAAAATACATTTTTGAGATTTCAGTATAGAGCCCAAACTACATGCTGCAAACACTTTTAGCTTTTGTTTGTATAGGACAGTATAAAGTATATATACAGTGGGTAAAAAAAGTATTTAGTCAGCCACCAATTGTGCAAGTTCTCCCACTTAAAAAGATGAGAGAGGCCTGTAATTTTCATCATTGGTATACCTCAACTATGAGAGACAAAATGAGGGAAAAAAATCCAGAAAATCACATTGTAGGATTTTTAAAGAATTTATTTGCAAATTATGGTGGAAAATAAGTATTTGGTCAATAACAAAATTTCATCTCAATACTTTGTTATATACACCTTTTGTTGGCAATGACAGAGGTCAAATGTTTTCTGTAAGTCTTCACAAGGTTTTCACACACTGTTGCTGGTATTTTGGCCCATTCCTCCATGCAGATCTCCTCTAGAGCAGTAATGTTTTGGGGCTGTCGCTGGGCAACATGGATTTTCAACTCCCTCCAAAGATTTTCTATGGGGTTGAGATCTGGAGACTGGCTAGGCCACTCCAGGGCCTTGAAATGCTTCTTACGAAGCCACTCCTTTGTTGCCCGGGCGGTGTGTTTGGGATCATTGTCATGCTGAAAGACCCAGCCATGTTTCATCTTCAATGCCCTTGCTGATGGAAGGAGGTTTTCACTCAAAATCTCACGATACATGGCCCCATTCATTCTTTCGTTTACACGGATCAGTCGTTCTGGTCCCTTTGCAGAAAAACAGCCCCAAAGCATGATGTTTCCACCCCCATGCTTCACAGTAGGTATGGTGTTCTTTGGATGCAACTCAGCATTCTTTCTCCTCCAAACATGACAAGTTGAGTTTTTACCAAAAAGTTCTATTTTGGTTTCATCTGACCATATGACATTCTCCCAATCCTCTTCTGGATCATCCAAATGCTCTCTAGCAACCTTCAGACGGGCCTGGACATGTACTGGCTTAAGCAGGGGGACACGTCTGGCACTGCAGGATTTGAGTCCCTGGCGGTGCAGTGTGTTACTGATGGTAGCCTTTGTTACTTTGGTCCCAGCTCTCTGCAGGTCATTCACTAGGTCCCTCCGTGTGGTTCTGGGATTTTTGCTCACAGTTCTTGTGATCATTTTGACCCCACGGGGTGAGATCTTGCGTGGAGCCCCAGATCGAGGGAGATTATCAGTGGTCTTGTATGTCTTCCATTTTCTAATAATTGCTCCCACAGTTGATTTCTTCACACTAAGCTGCTTACCTATTGCAGATTCAGTCTTCCCAGCCTGGTGGAGGTCTACAATTTTGGTCTTGGCCATGGTGGAGTTTGGAGTGTGGCTGTTTGAGGTTGTGGACAGGTGTCTTTTATACTGATAACAAGTTCAAACAGATACCATTAATACAGGTAACGTGTGGAGGACAGAGGAGCCTCTTAAAGAAGAAGTTACAGGTCTGTGAGAGCCAGAAATCTTGCTTGTTTGTAGGTGACCAAATACTTATTTTACCGAGGAATTTACCAATTAATTCTTTAAAAATACTACAATGTGATTTTCTGGATTTTTTTTTCTCATTTTGTCTCTCATAGTTGAGGTATACCTATGATGAAAATTACAGGCCACTCTCATCTTTTTAAGTGGGAGAACTTGCACAATTGGTGGCTGACTAAATACTTTTTTGCCCCACTGTACATTTGCAACAACGTCACAGGAAATTTGCTCAGAAATTTGCTCTTTTAGTACCACAAAGCAGGAAAGCACCAACACAGGCACTCTGCAGTTTTCCCCAGTTAGTAACTGAGTACGTTCCATTATATTACAGAATAATACTTACAGAAAATTCTTTATTAACAGAGGAGTGAGGCAGAGTTGCCCAATTTCCCCATTTTTGTTTTTGATTGTTGTGGAACTGTTATCAATCAGTGTACTAAAAAAAATCCAAATTTACACGGTATAACATTATTTAATAAAGAAATGAAAATTTCACAATTAGCTGATCTAAAAGAAATATTAAGAATGCAATCAAATTAGTTCAAACTTTTTCTGATGCCTCAGGTCTCCAGTTAAATTCTTCCAGTGCATGATTCTTCGGAACGATCATTGTTTAACATTCCAGTAAAGGAATGTATTAAATATTAAGGAATTTCTATATCAAAAAACTTGTCAGTTAGGCAGCAGCTTAATTTTAACAACAAGATTAAGAAAATGTAATTTGTAAATATACAAAATGCACTACAAATCTATTTATATCTTTAATGAAAAAAAGAGAGTTATTCCAAGAGGGATTTTTTATTTTTTATTTTGGAATTCCATTCTAAGGGATGTTAATTGGAGAAAGGCTTGGCTGCTACCTTACAAATTTTGTATTTCAAATAAAGAAAAATTCATCTGAAGATTTTACACAAAATTTATCCTAAAGATATATTGTTTTCTAATTTTATGGATATTGGGAAAGAATGCTCCTTTTGTTACAGTTGTGAGCAGTCTTTATGTCAACTGTTTTTGATTGCCAAAGTGTACAATTATTTTGGAAAGATTGTTTCTCTGCTTTTTCAGTAAAATTATTTCAAGGATAACATTAAATGTGAAATAAATTATTTGTTATTATGAGAATGATAATACAAATATTCACAATTTTGTAAGTTTCATGATCCTGAATGGCAAATTCTTTATTCATAAATGTTGATTGTCAAAATATCCTCCTTTATACAAGGTTTTCTCTAACAAACTTACTTTTTTAATGAAGTCTCTTAAAGTTGTGAAAAATGTAAAAGCTACGTCTATTGTAAGATATTACGAATCTATTTTGGCGTCTTGTGAATGTCTTCTTTTTTTGTTCAGTTTTATTTATTATTATTATTATTATTATTATTTGTTCATTAATCATCTTTGGAGCTTCTGTCTTTGATGCCTGTTTTTCTGTAATAATGTCTGTATAGAGAGGTAAACAGCATTGTTCATGACTTTGTCACGCAATTATTACAGAATGAAAGAGTAAAGCAATATGAAAATCACCACAGTGGTATTTGGAGAGATGTAGAACAAGAATCTGGTGGAGTTTGCAGAAAACAATTTGATTTAATCTTTTTATGAATTTTTTTAATATGTCTTTATAGTGAGGTAGTAAATAGTATTGGTCATGACTTTAGTATTGGGCATGCAACTATTACAGAATGAAACAGTGAAGCAACATGAAAATCACCATGGTACTTGGGTAGATGTAGAACAAGACTTTTCAGAAAACTATTTGATTTTATTTATTTTTTGTATGAATTTTTGAAATATGTCTCCCAACACCAAGTGTCTCAGGCCAAAACATGCATAAAAACATAAAAACAAAAAACATTTTACTAACTCATTGCAAATGTTTTAGTGAAAATGTAATACATTAAATGCAATAAAAAAAATTAAATACAATTAAATAAGAGGTGTCTGCATAATATGTGTTTTTTTTATTTATTTGCCTATTATTATTATTTAATTGACTCTGGCAGTTTGATACGAGCTCCGAACCACTCTTTTTAAACAAATGATTTGCAAAGGTTTCGAAGCTTCATGAAGCCATGTTTCAAAAGCGGCCATCACTACCATGCAACGCCATGTAAACGCGCAATGAATTTAGATGGTGTAGATGGTGTGACTGCAGTGCACAGATTTACACACACGCATCAGAAGTCAGAAAGAGCTTTTTTGTCAAGTATGTTTGCACATACAAGGAATTTGTTTTAGTGTCACAAGCTTCCAGTACACGGAGACAACAACAACAAGACACAGATAATAAAAATAAGATGTGAATAAAATACACACATGTGTGAATAAAATACACACATGTATAAATATAAATAAAGCACACACACACAGACACACACACACAAAGGATAAATATGTACAGGTGTGCTATAGATAAAATACTGTAGAATATGAACAGAATAAAAAAGTTGTAGGGATGTACTAGGATGTAAAGAGATAAATATACACTGCCGTTCAAAAGTTTGGGATCAGTAAGATTTTTATGTTTTTTTAAAGAGGTTTCTTATGCTCATCAAGCCTGCATTTATTTGATCAAAAATACAGAAAAAAATGTAATTTTGTGAAATAGCCTATTATTGCAATTTAACAAAACCGTTTTCTATTTTAATATATTTGAAAATATAATTTATTCCTGTGCAGCAAAGCTGAATATTTAGCATCATTATTCCAGATTTTAGTGTCACATGATCCTTCAGAAATCATTCTAATATGCTGAATTATAATTATATATAATTATAAATAAAAGGTTAAAAAGAACAGTATTTATTCAAAAATAAAAATTGTGTTAAATATACACAACTATTCAAAAAAAAAAGTTTGGGGTCAGTAAATGTCTTTTTTTTCTTCTTTTTTTTTAAAGAAACTTTTAGAATACTTTTATTCAGCAAGGATGTGTTAAATGGATAAAAAGTGATATTGTTAGAAAAGATTGTTATATTTTTAATAAATTCTGTTCTTTTTAACTTTTTATTTTATTTATGCAACACAGGTTCCAAAAAAATATTAAGCAGCACAACAGTTTCAACACTGATAATAAATCAGAATAAGAATGATTTATAAAAGGATCATGTGGCACTGAGGACTGGAGTAATGATGCTGAAAATTCAGTGCTGCGTCACAGAAATAAATTATGTTTTAAAGTATAATAAGATAGGAAACCAATATTAGAAATTGCAATACTATTTAACAATATTACTATTTTTTTCTGTATTTTTGATTAAAACATTACAAATCTAAAAGATATACCTGTGTGCGTGTGTGTGTGTATATATATATAAAATAGGCCTGTGTGTGTATCCCTTATTCTGTCCCTTATTTTTCTATGAAAAACCACGATTGTCCCTTATTTTCCTTTTCTGAAGTTGGCAACCCTAGCTGCAGCCCATGTTGCCCATTAGGATAACGCGGTCCTGCACAGACCGTACACGGACCATTTCCGTTTCATGTTTTAATTATAATTAAAAACCATATTCGATTTATATTCGATGATTACATGAATGTACCTCTGAAGGTTCTGATTGTCTTCAGAAAAGATCGATGGCATTTTGCTTTCATCTTCGCTCCATGTAATACCTAATAAAGAAGTGTTGTTATCGCAATGCTTTTTCCACGGAGGTTACAGGGAAACAGCTCTAATTCAGCTGTTCCATCAGTGCCACCTAATGTCAGAGAGTGGATTTACAGAGAGTTACATTTACATTCAGCCTTTGTGCAGTTCTGTCTGGCCAAAAAACGGACCGAATTTGCATGCCTTGTTGATGAAAGACAAGCTTATGTGGATTCTACACATTTCAACAATTCGGATAAGGTATCTAGAATTATTTAAGGATCAGATAAAATACAGACAATAATTTATTAATAATTTTGACTTACTGTAATTTTTTTTAAAGGCTGAAATGTGAGGTTGACCATTTTATGAAACTTTTTCAAAGCTTTATATGAACATTTCGTACATTTGTTAGATAAACTGTTGTCAGTGTTGTCATTTAAAATCCAGACATCATTGGTAATGTTATTGTTTTAGTGTTTATGCAAACAAAATGTAATTTCATTTGTTGTTTGTTGATTTTAAATATAAAACTTGGTGAAACGAAAATGTGTCTACTTTTTGAAAATTTCCAGCACATTTTAACAAAACAGTGATAATACTGATAACCGTGATAATTTTTGTCACCTATAATCATGATAAGAATTTTTCATACAGTTTCATCTCTACAAAGATTAGCTGATAAACTGTTGATTCAAGCCTTTCCTTATTGACATCCATTAAGGACTGCACATGTGCACTGGCTGGTTTAGCCTGAAAGATGTGCTTTTTTAAACAATATTTGGGCATAAAATACACTAGTTCATGTCAGATTTTGTTGCTGAATTGAAATATGTTATTTAAATGTGAGTGTGGAAAGTAGGATTTATTTATTTATTTACAAACACGAACCACAAGGATTCCACTTTGAAGACAAAAATGCATGACAATGACACCTTAAAGCAGCATCTGTAAAATGAGACTGCCATCTAGTGGTCGATTCTTTACTTAAGGGAAAGTTATGTGTGGCACAACAGTGGACAGAATGAATAAAAAAGGCATCACAAACCCTTGATCCACAAATGCAGATTCAATAATAAAATCAAGACTAATTTGAGTCTTGATCTTCCTTTGGATGAATGTACATATTTAAGGCCCATGTTTGCCAAAGGGAAGATTTGTATACACGGATGTGTCTCTGTACATTCTCTGAGCATTAATGATTTCACTGACACAAGATAAAATACATTTTTGAGATTTCAGTATAGAGCCCAAACTACATGCTGCAAACACTTTTAGCTTTTGTTTGTATAGGACAGTATAAAGGTGATAGGAAGCAACGCATTACAAGTAACATGAGTTACATAATCAGATTACTTTTCAAGTAACTAGTAAAGTAATGCATTACTTTTTAATTTACTTGAAAATATATTGAATATTGAAGTTAATTTTTTTAAATAAGGAACGACAGTTACATTGTTTTCCCATGTATCGATTGACAGCTCTCCTGTTCCCATATTGAGAGAAACTGAGTAAGTGCAGAGGCCTTGTGTAAGTGGCACTGTGTAAACATGACGGTTACTGTAGTTCTAGATTAAATGTGAACATGCATTTACTCATCTCACTTGCACAAAAACTCAAAGACTCAGTATTATGCAAACCTGCAATAATTAAATATGTAAAACAACACAAATATCCTTTATGTATTTAATCCCATTTTATTAACCAATGTCAATGACCTTTGATTATCCAATTCAACCATACTGATAAGCAAAAATGACTTTAGATAAACAGAACATACACATGTATATATACACACCAGGATGCACTATCGGAAGAAGGCAAGGCAGTGCGATGCTTTGAGCAATGTTCTGCTGGGAAACCTTTGGTCTTGCCATCCATGCCATCCATTGTTGCAGACTATGTACACCCTTTCATGGAAACGGTATTCCCTGCCACAAAGCAAAAATGGTTCAGGAATGGTTTGAGGAGCACAACGAGTTTGAGGTGTTGACTTGGCCTCCAAATTCCCCAGATCTCAATCCAATCGAGCATCTGTGGGATGTGCTGAACAAACAAGTCCGATCCAAGGAGGCCCCACCTCGCAACTTACAGGACTTAAAGGATCTGCTGCTAACATCTTGGTGCCAGATACCACAGCACACCTTCAGGGGTCTAGTAGAGTCCATGCCTCGAGTCAGGGCTGTTTTGCCAGCAAAAGGGGGGCCAACACAATATTAGGAAGGTGGTCATAATGTTATGCCTGATCGGTGTATATACTGTATATATTTGTATTTTTTTTCTCATTGCTGAAGAGTGTTGAACTTTCTTCTCTTGTGTTCTATTCTTCATGCAATCCAGAATGGCAGCACAGCTGAAAGGTTTGTTTGAGCTGCGCCCTCTACGGTACAGACATGAATTTACATTTCCTTCAGCCTGAGGCTTATTCATGTGAAAGGGCTTTCACATTTGCCAAAATATAACTTTTTTTACATTAAAAGCAAACAAGCAAGCCCAGCCTAGATGAGACCTCTGGAAATGTATTCACAGCTCCTTGGTTGACTTTCACTTTTGTCTACAGGAGGACACATCTTTGGATCAGCCTCCACCAGACGTGTTTGTCATTTTTGGTAACACTTTACTTGAAATTAAGAATTGATTAGTTAATCTCTCGAGTCTTTCGAATCGTTCGTTCTTTTGTCACGTGACGTGACAGCATTGGATAGAGAAATTAGTTAATTTACAAGCTTCCTTACAAATGGGTGCATAGCTATTATTATTATTATTATTATTATCATCATTATTATAATTATTATTATCAGTTACGTGATGCGTTTCTGGTCTCAAATTGTAGCTTTTTACTTCTTACCATTTATAAATGTGTGAATTTCTGTCATGATGGTTATTTTCCATAACACTGAATGTTGTAACAAAGGTAATAAAGAGTTGGTTATTATTATTAAGTCTCTTTCCGGCTCAGACTGCATAGGTTAAGCTTATGGGGCTGTCACGTGATGAACGATCGACTCGAAAAACCCGAAGACTCAAGAGATGAACTAATCAATTCTCTTTCCGGCTCAGACTGCATTGGTTAAACTTATGGGGCTGTCACGTGATAAACGAATGACTCGGAAAAACCCGAAGACTCGAAACAGGTGAACTACTTGACTAATTCCGGTACAGAACCTATAGGATGTTGCGCATGCGCGACTGAACGAATCACTCCCCGAGACGACTCGTTCCTCCCGAGTCACATTAAAGATTCGTTCAAAATGAACGAATTCTTCAAGAACGACCCAACACTACTGTGAATATGAACGCGATTTTGCGTAGCTTTTCAGTGAATTACGGCTTTGAAAAGCACGTGATGGAGATTTACTACTAATCACAGAACCGGCTGTACTGAGAGATGCGCATGACAATCACATGCGATTTATCATGCAGCCCTAAAAGCAAGCATCACAATAGATACATACATATGCAAGTCAACAACACATGAAACAAAGCTTTATTCATACTTATTGTTCTAATAATCACATATTTACAGGCGGCGAACCCACATCCTACTGCCATTACTGCCAGCTCAATACATCTGTGCCAATTTTGCAGTTGACCACCATGTCCACCATCACGTCCCTCATTGCTGCAGTCAGACTGGAATCTGATCATGGATGGGAAAAGAACATCGAGGCTGTCCTTGCCTGAGTGACCCATCTGCTCATCACCCCATACAGAGAGACTTACAGAACCCTGTGCAGGCTCGTTTCAACAGAAAGCACTCCTGTGAACGAAGCATAGTAGAGAGAGCCTTTGGCATGCTGAAAACACGCAGACGCTTCATTTTTTCAAGGTCTTAGAAGAGAGCCCTGCCTTCGTGACTGAGGTTGTTCCACAACTTTGCTCTTCTAAATGGGGACATCATTGAGACAGAGGATGAGAAAGACGATGATGACACCCCCCTGAACCACACAATCTTGAAGCAGGAGTGGGAGAATGCTGCGGTGTTTGCTCCAAACATTGGTGTGCCTGCTCTCCATAAACACGTCTACCTGTAAGACATTTAAACAGGCTAAAACGTTTCACAATTCACGTTGCCAGCTTTCCATTTCTTGCTGAATTTAATTTCAAATGTTTACAATTACATGCTATTTTTTGTTATAGCTTCATTACTTTTGTGGTGTAGTGGGCTAAACCACTGAACTGGTAAGCAGAAGGTTGCTGGTTTGATCTCTGCAGCCATCACCACCAGTGTGTCCTTGAGCAAGGCTCGTTGCTCCAGGTTGCTCCAGGGGGATTGGAGGTCCCTGTAATAAGCGCACTGTAAGTCACTTTGGATTAAAGAGTCTGCCAAATGCAGAAAATGTAAATATGATTTTTGTAAGTGTTTTTTTTTTTTTTTTTTGCTGGTTTCTGTTCATACAATATCAGTCAATGGAGCCTGACTTTCAGAAGCTTCATGACATTATTTGTTGATGCTTTTGAAGCTTCTGAAAGTCAGGCTCCATTGACTGATTTTGTATGAACAGAAACCAATAGAATAAACTTGATCAAAAATCACATCCTCAATGTCTTTTGGTCTTTTTCTAGATGCTCTCGCTGGCTCTGGGCTCATTGAGGATGAAGAGGCCACAGCAACATCTGACCCAGATGAGGCAACAAGGGCAGGTGGAGTGATGGAGGCTCTGATTTCCAGGATGCTGCTTTGGACTCTCCATCCTCAATGCTCACACCAGTCTGAGGACATTTCAGATCCTACAAAAATGCACAAACATAATACAACAGCAGTCATTTTAACAGCACAATGTCACTTGATTTCTGTATTAGAAGTAACAAAAGGATCTTTATATTTTTGTTTCAGGTTTTCTCTTTTTTTTTCACAAATGCCACCGTCACCTTGCCTTGCAGGTCCTGCTCCACCACAAAAGCTCTGCAGCAAATGCACAGAAATCAAGAATCAGAAAACTGCTATAATAGCCCTGTTTGAAAGTACAATAATTATAAAAAACTACAACTTAAAATTTCAAAAGATTTTTTATTTATATCTGTAGTATACTCACTAAAAGCCTTTGATGGCAGCATTCCTTCATCAGTCACTCTCCACCGGGTAAACACACGTGTCTCATCTGTCCCTGTAACATTCAGACAAGATTCAAGTTACCTCTGTGATTTATCTGCTCAATACTGCATTTAAATGTTGGGGAAGTTGCTGATGTGTTACATCGCTTTTTATCCAACACAATATTAAATTTATCAACAGTGCTAATGGACAAATAAAACATAACTCATGTTTAGTTACTTTATGTATATTTGTTTATTTACATTACTTACATTCATCTAAAGCAGTGAATTCTACACTAGCAATAGCACAAATACATCACTCAGTCAGATGTCTATTTCATGTCTATTAGATGTGCTTATCTGCAATATGTATTAAAAAATGTTGCAATTATTTTCCTGTCAGATGTTAAGTAGACATTTTGTAGGCGTCTTTAAAGATGTATATTGTTTATGTAAATCCTCTTTGGAGACGTATGTGTGCTTACTGGAGCAGTACTGTTAGCTATACATAATAAAACATGTTTTTACAGCACAATCACAGATATACTATACTATACTATACTATGTAGCGTCTTTACACTTTCAACAGTTTACTCTACAGTAGTTCAACAAATGTGATTTTAACACAAGGAACCGTGCTTTTGGTTTCTAATACTCACATTTGAAAACAACTACATCGCTGTTCTCTGCCCTGTTCGATTATCCTCTCCCGTGGCCTCCTGGGATAGAAAATTGTTCATCGGATTCACACTTCAGAATCTGGGCTGAAGCAGTAGGACATCTGGGGATTTCTCGCCTACTCTACTACTTTTTTTTTAGCTTCGGAGAAAATAGCTTTGCGCCAGTCTTCTGCTGTCTAATCCTTGTACTTCCTGCAGAATTTCAGTCTGTCCTTGACGTTTTTCTTGGAGAGAAGTGGCTTCTTTGCTGCCCTTCTTGACATCAGGACGTTGTCCAAAATTCTTGGCCTCACTGTGTGTACAGATGCTCTCACACCAACCTGCAGCCATTCCTGAGCAAGCTCTGTACTGCTGGTGACACGATTCTGTAGCTGACTCCTCAGGAGGAGACGGTCCTGGCGCTTGCTGGACACTCTGGGACGTCCTGAAGACTTCTTCACTGCAGTCGAACCTCTCTCCTTGAAGTTCTTGATGATCCGGTAAATGGTTCTTTCAGATGTAATATTCTTTGTAGCAATTTCCTTGCATGTGAGACCATTCTGATGTGAAGCGATGATGGCTGCACGTGTTTCTTTGGAGGTAACATTGCTAACAAGAAAACAATGATTGGAAGCGCTTCTTCCCTTCATCAGTCTGCTCTTACAATCTATTTAGTATGATAGTGATTAACCTGACTAGTACTCATTCACAATTTCACATGTGCTGTTGATATGATTAGTCAATTAATGTTAGCTGGTCATTTTGTGTAAGGATAAAAAAACTGTGAAATTTGTTTTTTTGTGAAATGTTATAATAATAAAAATAATTACATAATTAAATAATAAAAAATGAGTAGATGAGACTATCAATAATACAATGTCTTATGACGGCCTGCTGCAACATATCAGAACCAAACAACACAAATATCACATCTGTTTACAAAGTGAATCAAAGATCTGTAACTAAACAATTCTAAACAATTATTGTTCTCGTCTAATTTCTTGGTTTGCAGAAAGGATAGGTAAATTGATTTCCCATGCTGTAAGTTAGTGGTTTTTGAGGATGACCGAATTCTGACTGGAGTTCTTATTCCACATCAGGTGTCATCAAACAGCAATAAATAATTTCTTCATAGATTAATTGAAGTATAGGACCATTGTAGGCATGTATTGTTCCGGTCATCTGTACTAGTTTAGAGACTTAATTTATTTTGGAATTATGCTGGTAAAGCAAATGCAGTTTGTGAAAGTTTGTTCTGTGTTATTTTATGGATTATAAATGTGTTTCAAAAACAACATATAAATTAACAATAAAAAATTTACAGATTCAGACTTATTTTTATGAATGGACTGAAGAACACCAATCAATCAATCAATCAGTCTATCTATCTATCTATCTATCTGTCTGTCTATCTGTCTGTCTATCTGTATGTCTATCTGTCTGTCTGTCTGTCTGTCTAGCCAGCTGTCTATCTGGCTGTCTAATGGTGAGTCTTACTGATGTGAACTACATTTTCTGAAATGGCAGCACACATTGTAATATTGGCCCCACGTTGGTCTGGTGTGTCAGTTGTGGCTCAGTGTCCAATGCGATTGCGACCACGTCTCTGGCCTTTGGACAGATTGAACCCGGCCTCGTCCACAAAAACAAGAATGTGGGTTGTTTCATGTCCTTCTAACTCCATGATTCTCTACGAAGAAACACAGAAACAAAATAAAGTAAATTTTTATTCTAGAGTTCAGTAAATGTTTTCTCTTCTTATGGGTTTCTAAAACTTCAAGTAATACAGGCATCTTAGAAGTACAGTAAAACTCACTAAGTGCACACCAATAGTTTACCTGGACATACTGCACTTTGGATCTCTGATGGAATTGTTGGCTATGACCATGTTGCAAATTTCTTGTTCTTGTTGATGGTTAAATACTGCTGCTCTGCCACCAGCGCGAGGTTGTTGTGCGGTTCTGTAGAATGTACAAATAGACTTGCATTTACCTTTACAATATTGTTGTTTATAAAAATGCTTTACATACTGTAAAACAAAAAAATAAATACATATTTACCTGTTTTCCCTATGAAAGGTTTGCACAATTGATGACACTGTGGACCTGTTTACATTAGGCTGTACTCTTTGACCAGCCTCTTCCATTGTAAAACACGATTTACAGTTTTTCTCAATTGCTTTGGCTCAATTCTCGAATTAATTTTTTTTCCCCGAAACAATAAGTTCAGATCTCTGAACAATTAGCTTATTGTTCACATCAGATTGGAATTTCTTATTGAGTTGAGCAAATTGCAAATGCTTTGGCACATGTGTGCAAAGAGTAAGTACAATTGTCTGCAGTTTGCACAACAACAAATTGCATATGGCTTGTTGATCAAAACTGATGAGTCGATTCTCACTTAAACTGTCAAACTCTTCACAACTTCTCAATCATTTTTCATTGTGTAAGCCATCACATTCAAAACGATCCATTCAATTATGAAAAATTGGTATACCAGTATGTATATTCCATAAATATCTGACATTGACATTGTTTGTAATGTCTGCTAAATTGGCAAGTGACCTCTAATTGCAATACAATTTGAATCATCCATTCAACCATTTAACCAATCAAGTTTGGGAGCATATATGTAGATTGCCCACAGCACAATCACTAAAAATTTTTGAGAATGGAGGACTTCCACAACCCTGAACTGCAGCAATATGCTTGTTGAAGAGCAATTGGAAGACGTGTATATGTGGTGGTGGTGGTTAGAGGAAGACATAATAGAGGAAGAGGTGGAAATAGAAGAGTCACAGTCTCTGATGAAATCAGAGCCACACTTGTGGATCATGTCATAAATCGTGGTTTTACAATGGAAGAGGCTGGTCGAAGAGTACAGCCTAATGTAAACAGGTCCACAGTGTCATCAATTGTGCAAACCTTTCGTAGGGAAAACAGATAAATATGTATTTATTTTTTTGTTTTGCAGTATGTAAAGC